CGATTATGGAATTCTGAAGGCATGGGGGGGTATTTACGATTTGAAATCCGAAGGCATGGGGGAATTCCACAGGTGGGATTTCTGGAGTAGAAAGTGTAGAGTAAGTTCCTGGAAAACGCTATTGTTGTGGACTTTTGTAGTTCGTAAATAAACCACGAACGTATGACCGCGGAAGCAGAAGACAAGCATCGATAGATCAGACACGTGTTTACGCTCATAACTTATAGAAGTGAACAGTAAAACGTTGGTTTCACATTTACCTAGATGAATTTCTTGTCACATGAATAAAAACTGAAAATGTATCTTTTAATACCGCTTGCAAATTTCTTGTTACTCCCGTCCGATAAACAGTAAAAAAACTCACACCAGTCCCTCGCTTCCAAGGAACGCCTGTCAGATTAGAACGCTTTTCGTGCGCACTACATGACGTATAAAACGACGCAACACGACTCGACGGTATATTTGACCGCCAAAAGATCTTAACAGTCTGAGTTTGAGCTATTTTCCTTTGTAAACGTCAAAACAGCACAATAAAACAAAGAGGAGTAAAATTACCTTAAGTGGTGTTTATTTTTATAGCCAAATTCGGACTTAAAAAGGAGTTTGCACAGCCTGGCCACTAGCGGTAGGTTTTTCTTGTCACTGAAGAGTAAAGCTTGTCGCCTGGCGCCGCTAGATCACAGCCTTGAGGAGGCATAAATTCATGTTCGTTTGTTCATATAGGCGTTGCTAAGTCGAAAATGTACTTCCAAAAAAAACCGGAAATTCTGAAGGGGAGGGGGGGTTCACGACTATGGAATTCTGAGGGCATGGGGGGGGTAGCGCATTTTGGAATTTCCGAAGGCAAGGGGGGGTTAAAACATGGAAGCCGTCCGTGGTTAGGTATGGATATTTTCTGGAATTGCCCAATGTTCAGAAATATCAATCTATGTTACTGGGCTCTAGGACTGAGACAAATACCGTAAACCTGCAGATAGATGGAGTTAGTATAGAACAATTGAAATTTATCAAATTGTTTGACGTACACCTGGACTCTGAACTTAATTTTAGTGAGCACATTAATTCTGTTTTGCAAAAAGGCTAGTCAACAGATAGGAGTTTTAAGACTTCTAAAGAATCTTATACACACTGATGGTAAAGTACAACCATACAAAGTTGCCATATTGCCTCTTTTAATTTACTGCAGTACCATTTGGCACTTCTGCAGAGGCTCAGACAAACTAAAAGTTGAAAGATTACAGGAGAGCCCTTAGAGTCTCATACAATGTACTTCTGAAGCTGGCTGAACTCCCTTTGCTTGTTAACAGAAGGCTTCAGCAAATTTGCGATTCTCTTGTTTAAGGCAACAAAGAATCAACTTCCCAGTCAAATACTGTGTATTTAGAGCATTGCTGTTTTCCTTAACAGGTGGGGAGGTGGAAGAGGAAGAAGCAGGTCTCGTAGCCCAAGGCGATTCTAACTTTCCAGAAAGGTAGTGCAAATAACATCAGCCTATGTACTATGAAATCCCAGTTGTGAGCCCCAGAATTGTTCAATTTCTTCAGCGGGGTTTGGGTGGGCTTATATATGCCTGGGGGGAGGGGGATTTAGTGGGATTTAGGGTTAGGGTTAGGGTTAGGGTTAAAATTAAAATTAGCCTGGGAACAGGCTCACTTGTGCCAATTGCGGGTGGGAAAGCCACCAGCATATCTTACCCATTCTTCTTGGCGTCTTGCGCTGCCAGCTCCACTACCAAAACTTCCCCTAATGCAGGCTATTTCAAAATTAGCTTAAACAAAGTATTGTTTTTTTTTTTCACTGTAAATATTTTTGGTGTTAACAGTTCTCTGAGTTTCACAGTAACTATAGCTGCTCCAAACCTGCTTTTTGTAAGATTGACATGAAAGGAAGCTTTGGGACCCATTTTATAAAACTAGACTACAGACATAATTATCAACATCATGATTTAGCAGTTTGCAATAATTATTGCAAACCGCTAAATCGTGATGTTGGTCTTAAATTTAATGCTGGACATTAACAGTAATACCCAACATTCTGTTTCATCTAACAGGCTGCAGGATCATCTCACTAGTAATAAAATGTGTGTGGAAAATTATAAGGGGGCAACAACACATACCCCAATAAGTTCAAATTCACTCCAGACTTTGCTTTTTTTGCATGTTGTTGTAAACTTGCTAAAAAAACGTACAAAAATGTATAATGCTGGGTTGTGTAGTGTATTGGCACAAGATTCTACAAATATTGAAGTACAGTCAACTCTTTCTAAGTTAGACACCTCTTTTGGGACCAGCACAGTGTCGGTCTTAGAGAGATGTCCATCTTATGGAGTATCAACTAAAAAGTGAAAGGCTGGCACCAAATCTAGGTGTCCATCTTATAGAGGTGTCTGTTAAATTTTGAGAGTTGACTGTACAGTACCACCGGTGCACATCCTACAATAGCTACCGTAAAATTCCAAAAATAAGCCGCGGGGCTTATATTTTTCAAAGACCCTTTTTGAGGGGCTTATTTTTGGAGGGGCTTATCTACGGCGGGAAATTTGCGTTTCAAAATCGATTGGGCTAGCCTTATAGTTGGAAGTAAATTTACCGTTTTTGCTTTGTTTTACTTTCTATTTGATGGCAATTTTCCAAGTACAATGCCCCCAGGGGGGCTTATATTTGGAGGGGCAATTTAACGGAGGGTTTTTTGCGTTACCGGTTTGGGGGGGTTAAATTTGGAGAGGCTTATACGTGGAGGGGCTTATTTTCAGAATTTCATGGTATGTGATGGTCTAGCTATTCACAGGGCAAAGCAAGTAACTTTCTCCTTAGTTATTTATCAACTGAACTAACCATGCATCCACTCTGCGAATTATTATACGTTTCTGAGAAACTGCCCACCTACCCCTCCCCTAAGCCAACATTAACGCTTACTTCTAACCTAGGGCAAAATGTTGGCTTAGGGGAGGGGTAGGTGGGCAGGTTCCCAGAAGCGTACAGTGGAACCCCACCTTACGGTCACGTCGGTAATAAAGACACCTCGTTATTACGGCCACTTTTTTTGGCTGCCAGGCAAAATGGCCATACAGTTTCTTGTTAAAAAAAAACCCTCGTTAATACGGTCACTCGTTAATACGGCCAAATTTGTGACGGTATTAACGGGTTCCACTGTATAATGATCCAAATCGCTCTTGTACATTTACATTGTTTTGTTATTATTTTGTTTTGTTGCAGATGACGACACCAAGAAGGCCTTTGCCACACAGTTTGCTTTCCAAGCATTTTTAGTGTAGTTTTTAGACTGTATGTTTTCATCATAGAGTACATACATAACTAGCCTGTGTAGAGACATCCCCCCTCCCTCAGATTTTTCTCTGAGGGAGGGGGGACGTCTGTACACAGGCTAATACATAACTTGTTTTTAATTATTCTTATCTTTTTTGAAAACAGCAAAATAACCTTTACAATTTGTGTTAACTGCAAATGGAACTACAACCCCAAACACAATATATATGTATTTTCAGTTGATGGCAGCTGTTATTTTCGTTAAATCCTTTCCACTCCATTTTCTACAGTATTTGCATAAACACAAATTGCATTACTTGTGACCAAACAATTGCTAGAATTAAGCTTGATGCTGGTAAATGAACGTCTACCCTCAGTGTTTTGTAAGATTTATTTATTGTTTGTCCTATCAGTGCTAATAAAGTTGTTACTTGAACTGGAAGAGTGAATGGAGTTAAAAGGAAATCATACTTCAGATGGAGAATCCGTTATCTACAAATGGGTTAATAAAAGAAATGGTTTTCAAATGAAACTTTTTTAATGTTAACTGGCTCGTCCGTTTTACTGTCTCAACTTCAAATAGTTGTTTCATAAATGCAGCGAGTCTCTTCACAGTCCTTGTCATTCAGGTCTGTTGAGTTGTTCCCTTCGCCGCGCCGCCGACAAAAGAACCACGAGAGAGCAAAACACGCGGTGGTAAGAAATCTCACCGCCAATGAAACTCCTAGCACTACCTTCGCTAGTCCAATGTGGTCGTACTCCAGGCAATATCCCTGTTTTCCGCACCTGCAATGAAAAAAGTTTCACTAAGGTGTTCTTAACCTCTCTTACCCGTTTTTCTTTTCTTCTCACTCTCTCACTGCTGTGTGGGTTGATTTGTTGCCACCACTTCGACAGAGCTTGCGTGAGACGGGATCAGGTCTTTTGGCTCGAGGGCAGTTCACTTTGACTTAAGTAGATTCGCCCGGTGTATTTGTCATTCTTGAAAAATGGAATAAGCGTGGAAAGTCACAGTGACCGCATATGTGGGTCAACAGCCTTTTCCAAAAAAATTCTCTTTGAAAAACCCCAAGTTTGCAAAGAATATATGGGCTCATTAATGTTTTGCCACCGAGCAATTTTGCAAATTTTTATTGCTGCTAGTTCCTTTGTTCTGAATCACAAAGAGCTGGAACTTGCACAAACTGTTCAAATTAACCAGCTCTTTCAACTTTTGAACCTGATTTGTGTATACGGAGACTTCTTCTATGGGCTAACCCGTATGCTAGTGAAAAAAAATTTAAATAACGACGTCGGCAAGGAGTCACCTGAATACCATTTGAAGGCATTGGAATGGTCAGACAAGACGAACCTTTGTAGCGCAGAATAGCGTGCGAAGTAGGGACTTGCACGCATGCGCAAGGTACCAGTGCCGCGAGACTTAAGCGCGTCCTCATTTTTTATTCTAATTTCCACCTGTAGCCTGAAAAATCTGCCTAATGTGATTCTAAAATGACAAAACGAGAGCTGACGACTAAGGGCGATAGTTACTTTGAGCTCCATAGAATACACGTTTGGTCTATTAAGGCTCCATATACGATGGGGCCTGGAATGGCTCCCAAAACTCTCATAAGGGTCATCTGGTGTCCTAGCGCGTATGACTCTTGGGCCTTTGGTACACTCCTGAAAAGTGAAAAAAAAAAGAAAGACCGTTGAAACCTAACACAATGACCCACAATGATGAAAACGTACAGTCTAAGAACTACAGTCTAAAATCTTCGTTGTCTTATTTTCATGTTGAATTTCAGGTTTCACGCAGCGAAAATGTGGATTCTGCTCGCAGGGTAGTTCGCCTCTCGCTTCTATAAAATATTTACTGTGAGAAAAATACTACAATTATCCGCTGACCACCACGCAGGCGTGACGGCTTTGCAACATCGTTTCTTGGTACCAGGCCTCGTCTCTTCCACCCCCTATCACCACCACCACCACCACCACCACCACCACCCTCTGATTAAAACTATGGGGAACTCGTGAATACGTTGTTTAGAAAATAGAGAAGTCAGTGTCTTATTTTTCTTCCTGGTAAGCCTAACACAACTGAGAATAAGTACACACCCCTTTACTGCATACCCTCTGTGGCCTATTAGATAGGTATGACGAAAACCAGTCAAGCGTTGCACCCTTCAGACCATTCGCCATTTGCCTATCTCCCATAATACACCTTGTTTTGCCCCCAACATTTGGCATAAGCTTTCTCTTTTATTTCTCTTGGGACCACTGTAATACCCAGGAGAAATAAAAAACAAAGGTTACGCAAAGTTTTGGGGGCAAACAAGGTGTATAGTGGGTGATGTCAGGAGCCCATAACAGCAAGAAATGCAAGAAAGTTATCAATGTGGAATGAAGAAAGCAAAAACGTGACTGAGTGAAAAGCTTGGCAGCAAGGTTGAATCTGGGGTGTTTCTTCATAGAGGAAATGTTAAAAAAATATATTACTACAAACAGTGCAAACCTCAAGGTGACAATCAGCGCAGGAGTATAATTTAAAAACGTTAGGAATACTGTCGCACAGATGNTATCACCACCACCACCACCACCACCACCACCACCCTCTGATTAAAACTATGGGGAACTCGTGAATACGTTGTTTAGAAAATAGAGAAGTCAGTGTCTTATTTTTCTTCCTGGTAAGCCTAACACAACTGAGAATAAGTACACACCCCTTTACTGCATACCCTCTGTGGCCTATTAGATAGGTATGACGAAAACCAGTCAAGCGTTGCACCCTTCAGACCATTCGCCATTTGCCTATCTCCCATAATACACCTTGTTTTGCCCCCAACATTTGGCATAAGCTTTCTCTTTTATTTCTCTTGGGACCACTGTAATACCCAGGAGAAATAAAAAACAAAGGTTACGCAAAGTTTTGGGGGCAAACAAGGTGTATAGTGGGTGATGTCAGGAGCCCATAACAGCAAGAAATGCAAGAAAGTTATCAATGTGGAATGAAGAAAGCAAAAACGTGACTGAGTGAAAAGCTTGGCAGCAAGGTTGAATCTGGGGTGTTTCTTCATAGAGGAAATGTTAAAAAAATATATTACTACAAACAGTGCAAACCTCAAGGTGACAATCAGCGCAGGAGTATAATTTAAAAACGTTAGGAATACTGTCGCACAGATGAGAGTCAAAAACAAAGTGAACTTGACCCTGCATTCAACCAGACAGATGCCTTTATTCACTTCTCCTGGGAACTGACCGATATCTGCCAGGCAGGTACAGTCAGAGTACGACCAGGAACCAGTCTGAAAAAAAATTTATGGGTGCCTTAATATTTATGGTCTTAACGTGACGGCGTCCAACTAGAAAGCTCTTACTCCTTTTGGACGCTGTACACATACGTACATCATCTCTTTTTAGCTTAATAATTACTTATCATCTATTTTGTTTTCCTACTACTTGTATACAACTTGTAAATGCCTTGTATAGTGTAAAATAGAGAATTGAATTGAACTGGTGTCACTTCCTAGCTTCAGCAATCGTAACGGGTCATGTAACGTAGTAGCTGCTCGGAAGAGAAGTCACCAATGGTGCCTAACCCTGACCCCAAACAATACTGAAACAATTGGAAGAATGACATGTCATTGTTTTCTGCGTCCAATCAGGAGAGACCTTACGAGCAGCTCCTACACAACTGATCGTAACAAGTCCTCGATTATTAGCATGATTTTTTTTTCGTGATTTTTAAAATTTTCTTTAAACGAGTTGTACCTTATTTTGGAATGAATAAACCGTTGTGAATACACTTGTCAATATATTAAAGGTACGGTACCTGAGTTTTGTTTGCGATCGTGCACCCTGCGTGGCAAGGTGAAAAATAGGTCAGCGACCCTCCGCACACAGGGGAATAGCTTACCCCACTGCAGTTACAGGCTTGGTTACAAGGTGAAGAAAGCTGGGGCGGGCCCGGCGAGCTGTACGGAAGAAAATACCGTATTTCCTGAATAATAGCCGGGGGCGATTATTATTTGTTTCGCATAAAAGGGGGCGATTATTTGAGGGAGGCGATTATTTCAAATATTATTCACTGGAAGTCGTACCCTAAATATTTTGTTTTATTATCCCATTAAATTAAATAATGATTACATAAAGTAAACTCGGCTTTTTTAAAAGTGTTCCAAATTTGGTTCCTTGATTAATTTTCAATGTCAATATCCTCAGCGTCAGAGCTTGAATCGTCAATGATCAGTTTTGCTGGATCAGACTCCACTTCACCTCGACAGGGAGGGTAGAAAAGGAAGAGAAGATCGCGAGAGGGGTGATGGGCGATTATTCGAGGGAGGCGATTATCTTATATATTTCTGTTTAAGGCGGGGGAATATTTTTGACGGAGGGAGGCGATTAATCGAGGGACGGCTATTATTCGAAGAAATACGGTAACTGAAATAAAATATCTCTATCTGGGATTAACAATTGCTTTTAGAAAATAAAAGAAATATTTTGTTTGAGAAGTAATATACACCCATTGCAAAAATGGCTGCCAGATTAATATTCTTTTGTTTAAATTAAAAGTAGCCCAACTAACCTCGCTTGAGATAAGGTATTCTTTTGAATTTTGTACTGGGGAACGGGGCTAGTTAGGCTTATTTAAATTCAGACAAAAGAATATTAATCTGGCAGCCATTTTTGCATTGGGTGTATCAAGCATTCGACACAGTGTCTCGTCTCGGTATTTCATCTGGTGATGAAACTGACTGCGTCTGATGCTTGATAGATCACTTGAAGTTTGACGATGTTAAAGGGAAACGTAAGGGAGTCTGGCCAAGGAGAAGACAGAAGAAGTATGAGAAATGACAAATAAAGGAAATAAGACCTTTTACCTTTTTTGATACGATGTGTTCACACCAGGAATGGATGGTGTCTCGCATTTGATATACATCAAGGTGGTAAGGAGAAAACCAAGTAACGAGACAATAAAACACATCCTGGCGGAGTGAGTCGTGTTTAATTTCAGGCGTTTGTTTATGTATGACCCTGAAAAAAAAAAACAACAACAACAGCGTACGGACATACGTTTCACGTCTTCTTGCAAGAAGAAGGCTTTTCGAATTCCACCTCCTACTTTAATTTTTAATTTGACTCTACTGTAATTTATAAAACAAATGAGTGCGAGCGAATGAACAATACCTAAACTAAAAGTCAACAGCAGATAACCAACAACCCTTTCCAAGATACTAGAAGCCCATAGTCAGAAGTGTGCAACTCCCATACTTAGCCTATGCAACGGCGTTTTCATAGATCAAGTTATTCTTAGCATCATTTTGAAGCACTTTTTCTCGCGAAAATGAAAGCACAGTTCCGTATGCGTGCATAAATGCTATCAAAACATTCGAAACACTATTTTCTAGCCTAAGGTGTTTGATGACTGATTTGTACGACTTACTTCAGTCATATCGATCTGAAAATAAATTGGTCCATGAAAATGCTGTTGCATGGACACAAGGGAGTTGCTCGCTCTTCCTCCTGATGACGCCAAAAAACGTCCGGTTTAGTGCACATTGAAGAGGTCTGGAAATCCCCAGACTACAAAGAGCCTCGGTCAAAACAACCAGCAAAACAGGCTGTTCGGTCTGAGACAGTTGATGCCGCGCGGACAATATTTGAGGCACTACGGTCAAAGATAAGAAAACAACGTTCAAGACTCACCGGCCAAGTTTCCGAAGAAAGCGGTCGGAACAGTAATTAAGCCATAAATTAGAGCTACGTTTCTTGCTCCCAGATAAAACTGCGTTTCTACGACTTTCGGC